TAATAGGAGCCTATATAAGATAAAGTCCCAAATATCAGGACTGTCTCTATAAAATCGGGACATCTGGTCACCCGAATATCACCCTGAATGTCCTGTCTGGATGGGCCTTTCCCACTCCATGGTACTGCCACCCTCTGGAAAAGGAACCTGCTGGAGGAGTCCTTAAGTCCTGAGCAAACAGAGCAAGAATTTTGCAAACACGCTCCGGACCTTTGAAGAGGCAGCAAAAAAAATAAAAATAAAAATGCAAAAGGATTAAGAGTTCACCCCCCCTCCTGCCCGGGGATGATTCTGAACCCCACCTCCCTGGGGGGTTGTAAGCCTGCAAAGGAGCTAACGATGGCCTAAGTGGGCCCCGATTCTCAGTCACGCTGAGGCTCCCCTGTGCCACACGGGGGGTGGAAACAATCCCCCCCCCCCCACAGCTGGCATGGGGTTAGTATAAAGGTCTTGTGCCCAGACCCTGGTGTAGGGGCTGGATCTGTGGGTGTGGCCAGGGCGCACTGGGCTGTGGTTGTTCTCTGCCCCCAGGGCCCATAGGGGGCGGATCAGGGGCGTGGCTGGGCAGGATGCAAAGAGTAGACGTACAGTTGCCTCTCCCCCAGCTGTGCCCTGAATGCAGGATCGGGGCAGCTGAGAACCAGGGCAACCCTCAGCCCTTCCCAGTCCTCTGTATATGCAACCAGTGCTGCTGGCCGCTTCCCCAGCGCACAAGGCTGCCAGGACCCCCAGCTCTTTACCTTCCTGAAGCACCCTACAGCCCCTGATCTCACACCATTACTACCGAGTCCAAAGCGTCCTCAGCGTTGGCTACTGAAAACCAGGTGTGGCTACTCCCCAGCTGCAAGTACAGGGTTTCCGTGGGCCGAGCACCTTCCCTGGACTGGGGTTTAGCGGAAGGCAGAGGTGGAGATATGCAAACAAACAGGGATGCAGACAAAAGACCCAGCGTGAGCCCGTGGGTTAGGCCCTAGATTGGAACTCCACAGACCTCGGTTCTAGTCCCGGCTCTGCCAAGGACCAAAGGCCACTCGTTTCCTTTCACCGTGCCTCCGTTTCTCCTCCCGCCCTTTGTGTAGTTAGGCTGAAAGCTCTCCGGGGCTGGACTGTCTTGGCACGCCAGAGCCCCTAGTCACCACGGGGATATAAAATAAAGTGGAACCGCTTGGGATTTTCTGAGCCACCCTGGCCCCCCTGGGTCCATAGAAATTCCTGCTCTTTGCAAACTCCAGCAGGAAATCCCAGATCCCGCCAACCCTGGACTTTGACCCCGATCCTGTGGCTGTCCCTATTTTAGAGAGAACGTGGGAAGATTGCGGAGGGGGCAAGGTCTGAGCGCTCCTGGGAATCGGCCAGGCTGGCAGGAGGCCCTCAGGAGTGGTATCGACCATTCTAACTGGGCAGTGATTACACAGCTGCAAATGACGACGGCAGGCAAGCCACTTTGCTTCTCCGTGCCTCAGTTTCCCCATCCAGCCCTGCCTTGGAAAGCACTCTGAGGTCTACCCCGGATAAGAACTGTAGGATTGGAATTACCTCCCCTCCCCCCCATTCCCCTTCTTCTGTGTCCCAGAAACTAATTTGCAGTTTATCTGTTGAAGAATAAGAAATACGGGCTGGATATTTCTCCCTCCCCAGCCCCCTCTTACCAAAAGCCTTTGCCGGTCACAGTTAGATTCCAAGGTGGGAAGACAGGAGGATGGTTGCTGAGCTGCTACAAATTCCTTTCAGTGGGGCAAGATGAGGAGAGTTTCAAAAAGATGTTTCCATCCCGACGCCGAGCCCTGGAAGGCAGCAACCAGGGAAACCGGATTATTTTTGCTCTAGCTGCCAAACACCAATTCTCTGAATCTGAAAGGCAACTCGGTCCCCCGTGCTACGGGTGGCAGCTGAATTCACTGGGAGACAGCATGATCGTTCCAAGGTTATTTTTTATATTACAGTGGCGCTTAGAGCAACCGGGACCGGGGCCCGCGTCGGGCCGGGCGCCGCCCAGACACACGGCGCCCGGGACCGGGGCCCACGCCGGGCCGGGCGCCGCCCAGACACACGGCAACCGGGACCGGGGCCCACGTCGGGCCGGGCGCCGCCCAGACACACGGCGAGCCACAGTCACTGCCCCAAAGCGGATGAGTCTATACTTCAAATGCTGCAGCCGCACTGAGGTAGCACCTCAATGAGGACGCTCCCAACGCCGACAGGAGGGCTTTTCCCCTTGGCGTAGGTAACCCACCTCCCCGAGAGGCGGTAGCTATAGTGCTGTCTGCACCGGGGCTTAGTTCGGTTTCACTGCGGCGCTCGGGGGTGGATTTCTCACACCCCTGAGCCACCCTTATGCAGACCTAATTTCCTAGCGTAGCCCTGCCCCCCGTGGACCATGCGGTTAATGGGGCTCAGCAGAAGGGCCCGGGGTCTGTTCCTAGGGCCTGTTTGCAGGTTCGGGGCTTGCGTTTCCACCGTACCGAGCGCATTTCCGTTGCTACCAGAAACGAGCATTGAATAATCACAGGGCGAGTGACGTTACACCAGTCCACTTATCCAGGCGGGGTCGCTCAGCCCCTGGCTGCTAGGTTGGGGTCCTGGAGACAGAAGGTTGAAACCCAACATTTGTTTTGAAGCTAAAAATCAGTGTGAGACTCTTTCTAGCAGGCCCCTGCTCCTGCCAGGCACGGGGCACCCGGGACTGCCAGCAAAGCCACCAGGAAACAAAGATAGCCGTGTGGTTATTGGGCCCTCGAGACCTGCCTTCCAGTCCCAGCTCGGCCAGGGGGATTCACTTTCCCCATCTGGGAAGTGGGGCTAACACTACGTTGGTTAGGCAGTGAGCTCTTCGGGGAAGGAGCCTCTCCTCCTGCACGTACAGCTCCTAGCACACCGGGGCCTAGAGATGCTATGATAATACAAAGAACGACCGTCAGGCGCGATCCTGGGTCGCTGAAGCCGTATTTTCTGCCAGATCTATTTGGCAGCAGGTCCCTTTAAGACTGTGCTCCAGGAGTCAGTGCCGTGACGCTGCCCCCACCACCCTGGCCAGGGATATACTGTAAACCCCATGGAAGCCACAAACTTTGTACTTTGTCATCGACCAGGCCACGTCTCCAACCTGGCAGCCAGGGTTAAAAACGACAGAATAAATATTGACCGTGGAGTGCACACCTGCCCCTCGGATCCAGCGCCTCGTAAAGCTTCCCCAGCCAGGAATCTCTCATCCCAGCACCCCCTAAACCCAGGGGAGTCGGGGCAGCTTTGCCAGGGAAGAACGGAGCCTCGTGTTTCCATTGCGGTTGTTTACGATGGTACCACCTCGCCGCCCCAGCAGCGAGAAAGGGACCCCAGTACGCCAGACACGGCACGGATCCCCGACTGAGCCTGGTGCCCCATTGTGCCAGGTACAGCACAGACCTTCCCCCCCCCCGCCCCACATCAGGGGCCCCCATTGTGCCAGGCACAGCACAACCCCGCCCCAACCAAAATCGGGGGACCCCCACTGTGATAGGTGCAGCACAGACCCCTCACCCTGCTGAGAGCGGGGGCCTCCCATGTGCCAGGTGCAGCAGACCCTAATTAAGACCAGGGTCCCACTGCGACTGGCACAGCACAACCCCGCCCCAACCAAAATCGGGGGACCCCCACTGTGATAGGTGCAGCACAGACCCCTCACCCTGCTGAGATCGGGGGCCCCCCTTGTGCCAGGTGCAGCAGACCCTAATTAAGACCAGGGTCCCACTGCGCCTGGCACAGCACAACCCCCCACCCCTCCCCCAGACACACAACCGAGACCGGGGTCCTCAATGTGCTAGATGAAGCACAGATTCCTCCCGAGACCAGGGGCCCCCATTCAGGGCCCCACTGCACCCATCACAGCACAACCCTCCCCCAACCAAGACTGGGGGGGTCCCCATTGTGTGAGGTACTGCATGGACCCCATGTGCTGGGCGCTACATAGACAGACTCCCTGCTCCAATAACCTGACTGTTGAGTCCCAATTATCCCCCCCCCCCCCTTTGACAGATGGAGATTTGCAGCCCAGAGACCAGGCGAGATCAGCACCAGTTGCCTCCCCTTTGCAGCAGCCTCAGAGAGGCCGGAGATGGAAGGGGCCAGTAACGCAGGGCGCTCCAGCCCGCCGCCTCGCCCAGTGGCTGCCCTCACCGTACCTGATAAGCAACTGCTTAATTCTAATCCTCCGGGGCCCACTGGATCTGCAGTTCGACCCAGAACTGGGGACCCTTTGCATCGCCAGCACGGATCAATCATTAACAGGTCCCGCTCCCTCCTCCACCCTGCCCTCAGGGCAGCCGGGTGAGTCAGAGACCCCTCCCGGCTGGGCATCTCCCCACCTGTCCGGAGGAGATGGGCGGCGAGCTCGATTCCAGGTTCTTCCCCTGGCTTTTGGAGCAGGTGCGCTGGGCTGGGCGAATGGCACAAAGGCGGCACCGCACGGCCGGAGAGGGAGGGTGGAGAGGTGCCAAGTAACCTGACCTTCCCCCGACAGGTAATCGGGAGCGGAAGCCCGGCCCCACCCTGGCTTGCTCAAACAAATCCGGTGCAGGCAAAGCAGCTCGGTTGGTTTCAGAGAGGATCGGGCCCTTCAGCCTTAACCGGTTCAGCCCAGGGAGGGGATTTACACTGGGACGTTACCACCCCTACCCCAGTTCATTGTTTGCAGATGCCTCCAGGGGCAGAGAGGAACCGAATTCCATGGCTGGATTGCCCACGCCAGACAGACACGGCCTGCTCGGTTAAGGAGGGGTGAGGGAAAGAGGTGCCGGGAAACGCAATCCCTCTGGGGTCAGGGAAGCACCCAGCGCAGTGGCAGTAGCCCCAGGCTAGAGATGGGGAAAATGAGGGGCAGAAAGGGGAAGTGACTTGTCTAAAAAACAAAACAAAAAAATGCTGCGACAGTGACAGAGCCAGGAATAGAACCCAGGAGTCCAGCTTCCCTGCTCTAACCACTAGACCCCACTCCCC